GTATGTCTGTATTCAATAGGCAGTTAGGCAAGAAATATATATAATATATATAAATAGATAAAATGCATCAATAGATAAAATACATGAACCTATTGCTCATTAATTAAAAGTAAAAGAAAGCATTTTTTATCATATGATATATAACTGTTATGACAGAAAAATTCTAATTCTGACCACTTTTTTTAATTCTTAACATTTTGAGCAGCGTGGTCGGCAATGTGTCGTTATGAATGTGTCCTTTGTATATATGGTTGTTTATATGTATTATTTCTTCTATGTGAATGCTGTTTAATGCTTCAAATAATGTGACAAATTGTACCTAATTCAGGGGGATGCGCTTCTGCTCCCCCTGCTGTTGTACATTTGTTAAATGTTGAGCAAATAAATAAAGTTGTATGAAACTATTCCCTTTTTTAAACAGGGTTGGAATCCAGGAGAGCCATCTAACAGTCGTACGTACTGGCACTTGACAAAACTGTGCGTACAGTACTGGTCAGCTCGCCCTGGTTATCCCATGTGGGATGATGTTGACTGCTCTAATAGAAGCAGATTTATCTGTCAGACACCCCTGGCATAAAAACAAAACGTGTAACAAGCAGCAACGAGGCGTGTTAAGGTGGCAGAACCTATGGGGATTTCTATAGTTAAGCACCCCGAGGTGACTCACTTCGACGCGGTAAAAATTATAGTAGTATTGAACTATTGAATCACGACCAACTAATATGTTGAAATATACGGCATATTCTACAAAATAACTGAAAACTAAAACCGTTTTTTAACATAATGACGACCACTTTGATTTGGCCCTCTACCGGGGTCAACGGAACTGCAGCGGGCTCACCCTGGAACGTGGTTGCGTAATGCCGCGCATTTATACACGGACAGGCAAATCTTCACAATCCAACTCACACTGTGTACAAGCCGATACCTATCCTTACCACACAGTGTAGTTCATTCATGGCTACCTCTCACATAAGTCGCTATAGCCAGGATGCAAGAGGTTTGTCTGCACTACTTTCTATACCTGCGTCATAGACCGCCGGGGGTCGCGGATAAAAAAAGTACTGTGTTCTGCGACCTTAACCTCTGCTTAGTTTTTGGTCTGTATGTGAAATGATATTAAGGTTTGACAAAATTCAGTCATTTCATCTATGTTGAAAAATAAAAATGAAAGATTTATATGTAGTAAGTTATGATGACTATGACATAATATGACAGTGGTTGATGAAGCATGTCGTTCTGATAACGCGAAACGGAGGCTTTGTTTTTATTTTGCCTTCTTGTGAGTCTGCCAGTATGTATTTTTGCAGTTTAGTTTTTGTACGTCTTACTTCAGACGACATAGTGTTATTGTCGAATGTCTGTGATTTTATCTCAATTTATGACCTCCTGTTATTGAATTTTGCTGTTTTGCCATAAGCCATTAGTAAAATGGTATTATGACGAAGATATACATTCAAAATGTTGTTTTAGAATCTATATTTCAAGAATAACAATGACAACGACATAGTATTCTTTGGATTGGCCTTGTAAATTATGGTGTAGAATTTATTATGCAGTTGTTTCAAGTGTGAGACGATTTTTTATATCTCGAATATGGTAAGAGTAGATGCAATGATGTAGACTGGACTTAATGACTTATGCCAAGGAGGCCCTTTACAATGTACTAAGGCTCTTGTTGTTTTTTAAGATGAAGGTTACACTGAACGGTTAAATGATATCAACATAATTTATTTAACACATTAGGAGGAGAGAGCCGAGTAGCACCTTCAAACGTAGAAGCATCATATGATTGACTTTAGTTGTTGTTCAAAATCAAAATCTAATAAGAATCAGACACTTATTTTTTACGTAATTCTTGTAACTTGTTAAATGCTTATGTTTGATGTTGTGTAATGAAAACCATAATCTTATTATGTGTTTCTGTATACATCTCCGTAGGTGAATATGTGTAAAGCAATGGCCGCTGCTCACACAAACCCTGCTTCCGGCACCAATCTTAATCCTTACAGCCTTGATATAAGAGGCAGTGCTAAGAGGAATAAATGCATTGTGTTAAAATGACCTAAAATACGAATTTATTGCTAGTGCACTATAAAAGGTGTCAAGCAAGATGAAGTTTTCATGTAAAATTTAATGACAGCAATACTTTTCAATCTACTTTGTGCTAAAGTCATATTTTCTCTCTAATATCTTTGATTTATAGTTATGTATCTTTTATTTTTTTAAGCAAGGAACCACTATGGGAGATTGTACTAACATTTGTATGTGTTTAGCTTTTTTTCTCTTATTCCTCTCATTTACCAATGCAGAACTGTACAAATACGTTTCTAATGGTTTACAGAGAATAGTTTTATATTTGATGAGATTTGATGTGATTCTTGACTGTAAGATTGCACTGTTTTGATCTTGTGGCGTCACCATAAGGATGAACTGTACTGAACTTGCCTTTCTGTTTATTCTTAGTGAAATGTACATGTCATATTTGAAATAATAAAAATTTTGCACTGTTGAAATAGCCATAATGATTACTTGTCTTTTTTTCTAATATTAAGAATGCATTATATGTGGGAGAGGTAGGTTTCAAGGTTGCTCATTTGTGTTCCCAGAGACAGGATCTTTTTTTTCAAATTTCAGCATTCATAACAACAGGATTTTAGGTAAGGCCATGTTGATTTGATTATATGGATGACATCCTCTGGGAACTCCAAAACGCGCGCGTGCGAATAAAAAAAAAGTTTTGCAAAAAAAAAAAAGTTGCTTTCACTTTGAAATCTACGTGGTCATGAAGGTTGAACAAATGGCACAGAATATGTTATGGCGAATAATCTACTCTTCGAATTCATTTCTTTACATTTTTGTCTTTTTTTCCTTTGATTTTGGCATTCTACGACATTGTTATCGTTTTTAAATGTTTTCCTTGCAACTTATGGTATATTTTTGCTCATTTAGCAACTGTTTTGCACGATTTACAGTATGGTTGAAAACTTTTTTTTTTTGGAAACGGCCGAAAATTCAAGCGCGCGCGGATGTCATCCATATAATCAAATCAACATGGCCTAAAGACATGTCGTAGCCTTACGTTTTGTAGCCAGAAAACCAATCTACAATACAGCGTTTTTCTAATCCCAAGACGAATTGGTCTGCTACGAATGAGAGCGTAAGAGACATTTTATACAAGAGAAACAGAGAAAACTGAATATACAACTTGCCAGTGAATTTAGGAATATCCTTTTCGAAACGTTATGCTGAAATGACAACCATTGAATGGGTGCAAATGTAGCACTAGACGAAAAGCCAGATTTTCACAAATTTCTAAGCTAGAACACGTTAGAGAAACGCATAAGGCTTTTCGGAGGACCAACTTGTCAATAATTGAAAATTTACACTATTAAAGGACCACCCTGTCAATAGTGGAAAAACGTGCAGTATTGACAGGAACATCCTGTCAATAACAGAATCGTTGACAGGATTGTTCTGTCAATAGTGAAAAATTTTCTGCTATCGACAAAATGGTCCTGTGAATAACGCAAGTTTTTCTATTATTGGACCTACAGGACCATCTTGTCAATAACAGAAAAAAATTGTACTATTGACAAGATGGTCCTGTCAATAACGGAAAATTTTGCACTATTGACAAGATTGTCCTGTCAATAACAGAAAAGATATACTGTTGACAGGACCATCCTGTCAATGGTGCATTTATTTCCGTTATTGACAGGCCCACCCTGTTAATAGAGCACAATTCTGCACTGGAAAAATCATGTCAATTGTGTAAAATATTCTGGTATTGACAGGGGAATTATTCAAATTTGAAACGAGCCAAATTCTAGGGTTCTTACGACCTGAAACCAAAGTATGGATGGATTGAGGGCCTTAGGATACAGTTCTGATATCGCATAAATGTTCTATTTTATCTGAGTGGTCCGTTTTCGACGATTTCCACAAGTTTCCCTCAGCGGACAGGCCACGTCTGCAAATTGGAAATCAGTGGAAACCCGCGGAAACTTGGGATTTTCTGGCGCGCGTCCACAGATATCCACAACGGAAATCTAACTTTTTGCCCAGTGCCGATTGGTTTGTTTCAGCAACATATACAGTTCAAAGACCTTAGTATTACTTAATATTCATAAGCTACTTGATAAAATTAGTCTGCATATCTAGAAGCATGGTTCTGCGCAGCTCTTGTAGGACAATTGCAAGAACCCTAATACGGCAGTGCAAAATTCATTTACCAAGAAGCTATCGTACAGACACCACGCCAGTAAGCGACGGAAAGCTTATCACGTATGTACCAAAATTGTTCAAACAGAAAAAAGTGTTTAACAGATTGATAGGAGATCACTGATTGCACGTCCAGATCTGTGGACCAAGTACGCAGACTCCAGGTGAGTGACACGTAGCTTCTCGCATGAAAGATTAAGATACGAACGGACAGGATGCATGCAAGCAGCGGTACTAGGGAGAACGCAGCCATGTTGTTCTTGCTTCTTTTCATAGCTACATGTGCAGCATCAGATGCCCCTCCTTCTCGTCAGTGTAAGGTAGCTGGATGGCGAGTGTGTGTGCCTCTCAACGGCAAGGTGGGACAGATGGAAGTGTCGGGCACATGTGTAGTGTGTAAAGTCCTGAAACAGGGTGTTGCTCCTGTCAGCCCGTTCCTTCCTTGCTAGGGCCCGACATGTTGCAATAAGAGGCCACCCATTCCACGTCCTGTCTGCAAACAGCCTGGCCCCGCTTGACAATTCTGTGGTCCTTATGTTGACCTTGGCGGATGCGAACATCACTGATGTAAAGAACAACACCTTCACTGGATTCTCTAGTCTTCAAACACTGTCCCTAGCTTTTAACAGGTTGACAAATGTCAGACCGACCTGGTTCACTGGCTTGAAGAATCTCATGTCGCTAACTTTGTCAAACAACCGCATCAAGCAGATAGAGCCAGGGAGTTTCGCCAAACTAACCCGTCTATATAACT